GGGAAACAGAAGTACTCGGAGAAAACCTGCCCCAGCACCACTTTGTCCACCACAAATCCCACTTGACCAGACCCGGGATCGAACTTGGGCCACCACAGTGGGAAGCCAGCGCTGTGGTGTGGCCTTGATATGTTGAGAGTCCCTGGTCTTGCATGAATGGTATGGTATTTCCTTACTGGGTAGCAAAATAATACATGCACTGTGTGTCCCATCTCCTGATGGGTTGGAGTTTACAACATCCCATCAAGTGATGGGCTCTTGCCACTGTGTACGTAAATGTGATCATCCATGCAAATGTTATTCAGCTGCAGAGATACTTAAAGTGTAACTTTCCTGAAGCTTGAAAGTGTTGAAGCATAAAGTGATTGTTATCATTTTTTGCTCGTCCTAGTCCACTCCTGTTTTGATTGTAGTAGTTCAAAGTCCAGTTTTCATGGGAAGATGGCTGACCCAGCAGGTAGGTCCCAGTACAGGGCCATGACAGTGAATGCCTAAAAAAGATATCCAGAGTTATTTTTGATGATAGTGATTATGATGATTGCAGGATTTACTGAAGCACACTCCACAGGGGCATCATGATCGCATGTCCCTGCAGTTGGCCCTCACACAACTCGAGTCTCTGGCCGAGATGTTGAATGAGAGGAAGAGGGAGGCAGAACAGTTTCAGGCATTCAAGGAGATGCTCCGACACATCGGTGGCAAATTTACAGCAAGGCCATTATCTGATGGCAATCGCTACCTTCTCAGGGAAGACAATGTCACACAGCTGGTGAGTGGAATAACTTTGTATATGCAGTGTTCACCCTGTGTTTTGAGTAGTTGGGTTACAGAATTTGCTTGTGCTGAGAGTTAATAAAATGTGACCATAAATTCACCCTTTCATAAATTTGGGATCAGTGTTAAGCTGCAGTATTTAATAATGTTTCTCATCTGATAATGAAATCTTGAAATTGGATCAGTCTGTTCTTCAGCACGATCATGGAGCATCTTAATCGTTATGTTGCTGAACTTGTAATGATCCTAGACTGTAATATGGTGCTCATGTTATGCCTTTATCATTTTGGATGTGACATTTAAAAATATGCATTTCCTAAATTAACTCTCTGAATACTTCATACTTTCTGAGTTTATACTTCTTTCTGTAATGAACACAGTGGATGTCAAGTCAGACCCCTTTGGTGCCTTTGTGTGCCATCTGTGGAAGTATGTTTAACTACTGCATCAGGCACTGGAAATACCTTTCACTGTCCAGCTGACTTCAGCCATGATGGATAACTAAATAGCAGTCAGAGAATTCCTAATCCAGAATCATAATATGTATGAGGAATGTGTTAGTATGTAGTAAATTTCTGTTGATATTATTTATGGAAAATTGCAGAAATATATCAACACAGAGGGTGCGAATGGACACTAATAACCTTGCAGTGAATGTGTTATAAAACGTGGAGGTAGATCGTGAGGATTGAACTTGTGCAATATGAAGTCTGATGGTAAACTGTTAAGCATATACCAGACAGTTATATTGGTCAGTCTGTCATTTTGAAATATTTGTAGCACTTGTATCATATTAGCCATTGGTGAACATGACCATTGAACTTCACAGACATTTAAAAATTAATGTGTTCTAATGTAGAACTTTACATTTCAAATTCCATCCAGCAGAACCATATAATTTATAGTGTATTGATAGACTGTAATCTCTGATTTACTCAGTGAGTACTGAGAAGGAACAGATGCAGTACATTTGGCTGTATCAGAATTGCTTACTTCTCTGATTGTATGTTACAGGAGTTCAATCAGGCGGGCATGATCACAAAGTCTAAAAGTCGCCGCTTGCTACTTCTGAATGATCTGGTTGTGTGTGTGTCTGTTGCACCCAAGGCAGCTGATGATTTTGGTAACAGTGAACGTCTCAGCCTCAAGTGGACATATCCAGTTACTGACGTTGAGGTGATTTATATGTTTAAATAGTAAACTTCTCTCTGTGCTTAATTAAGCACTGTGGCATGAGGTGCTTTGTTAGAGAAGAGATATAGTTCTCTGCTTTCTTAATATCGCTACTAGATGGAGGTGAGTGGTCAGCTTCATGTCTCATGTGCTTTACCTCCAGGGGAAGAGCCCCTGCTACTTGTTACATAGGTGGCTGGATGGCTCTCAGTTGGAGAGGGGACAGATGAATTGCTGCTGCATGGAATCACATCCTGAATGCTCTTATGAACATAGACTAAAGTAACATTTACAGTGAACAGTGATGGATTGTCTCCACAGTAGTCCTTCTCAGAATAAAACCAAAGATCCATTTTTTAATTTCTGTACATAAGCAGTCTCTCAACCCACTTCAGAAAGTGTCACATAATTTATTTATGTGATGCAAGGCATGTTTGCAAGCAGAAGGGGGTCACTTTTGGCAACTGTTATAAAGCACAGTAAGTTTGTGTTATCTTCTTACAGTATTCTTACAAATGTGTGCATGTGCAGAAACTGATGCGAGGGAATCAGTGACATGACTGCACTCTGGCTAGCGGGGAAGGGCACAGTAGTCATGGAGAAACGATCCATCCGCTCTATGCTAGCGAGAGTGCACGTGTTTATCAGTGCTGATGACTCATTCTGCTAATCGGCAGTTACAGCAGAAATTTGTGAGAAATGTTGTATCCAACCCATGCTACTCTCCCGTTTTTCACAATGGTTGAACACATTGTAGTTTAAGTCAAATATAGAGTTTTGTACTAAAAATAAAATCAGAATTTAATACATAATTGCTATATATCACTCACTCGCTCATGGAGCTGAGCCCTCCTTGAGAAGTTGCCAATTGTGCAGCTACTCAAGAACTCCCCAGCATTTTATGGAAACTGAAGGTTCATTACTATTGTGACATGTTGCGCAAAGGAGAACCCCTCCCTACCAGCAGTGACGCGGCGGGTGAGTCAGCAC